ACATTTGCTACAGGACTGCCTCACATCTGACATAGTAAAAGATGAATAGTAAAAGATCGTTTGGAGAAATCTTCTTACACCTCTTCATTTTCCCATTTCTGTAATCACAGAGTTTGTAGGTGTGTATAAGCCAAACTGTGAATAAACATACCTGTACAACTCGATATTTCAAATCAGGAGTTATAAAATGATTCTAAATTTAAAAAAAGATAGAGTTTATTCTTCTCTCTTACCTTTTTTTAAGTAATCTTTCTACAGATTTTATAAAAGATTAAGTGTATTAAGTGTCTAAATCAATAATCTTAATTCTTCGTTTCTCAGGTTAACTGTCAAGTGCTACTTATTTTATTTCTCTGGTTGGTTTCTCTGCTTTAGCTAAATACTGTAATAAACACCAATTTGAAACATTTACCCTCTGAAACGACTAAAGAAATGTCTTTTTTACCATTTTAATTTTAAATGAATCTTCAGAAAATCACTGTAGTGTGTGTTGATTAGGATGCATTGGCTATTTCTGGAGTAGACTCAGAAAAATTGCCCTGTGTGTAAAAAGGAGAAGCAGTCAGACACTATGTTGCTGCTGAAATTTCATCTTTTGCACCAGTGAAAGTGAACTGTCTAAATAAGCATTAACAGCATATTGCTACCTCTCCTTTTCTAGCTCTTACAGCTGCCCTTGGCTTATTACAATGGCCGTGAAGTCCCAGCTGGTCAAAGGCCACACTTACTGTCACCTCTTAATGCATTATTGAATTTCGTCATTCAAGTATTGATTCATACACTAATTGAAATCCCTTCTCATCATTTCTTAGCCTTTATCATTGCCCCAGCCTGTTCAGTGACATCATTTCCTCAGCTGCTCTAAATAAATTAACAACTCCCCTCCAAAGCCACAGAGTAGCCAAGCAAGTGGTGGTCCTGTGTTTTTTGCTTCCTGTGATTAGCTTATGCAAACAAATGCCTAGTACTAAACTAAAATTAAATGTTAAATGTAGAAGATGCTTTATCATTCTGAGTTAGTCCTGTGTTTTCACTGATATGGACAAAGACCGTAGCAAAGCCGCAGCCAACAAAGTCCTACAGTGGCTCATAAAGGATAAACATTAAGGAATAATTCTCAATAGTAACATCAGTTTCCAAAGAAACATAAGTCCTATACAGACTTGCAATTTTAGATTCTTTACATTTTAGATCTGTTTTAAACAATGCTTTTTACTACAGCACTTGCACATAAATCACAAGCTGCAAAGCAGTGACATATAATTAATCACTGACTTAAAATGAATAGCAAACAATAAATGCTTAAAGTGTTTTATGTTCTATCATGAGCTCCAGTTTGCAGGCTGTTCTGAATTTATTTTATGCATAACTTTACACCTTTTGTTTTAAAAAAATTAAAAAGCTATGCTTTTTTTTCTATAATACATCCAGGACATGAAATGAATGCCGTTACTTGTAAATCTGTTAATCTGTAGTAGCTAGAGAACAATATGGCTGTTTATTGGATAGCAGACAATCTTGTAATTGTCTGTTCAAATAACACACTGTACCCCAGTAATTCAAGTATAATTATCTTCTCCTTTATGCTGAACATGGAGAGCTTGGGGATTGATTAGGATTTATTTCATAATAGCAATACTATAGCAAAACGATTGTGTGCTATTTCACCAATGGGGTATGTAAGTTTAAGATTTTTGTTCTCAGAGCAGACTTAGTTGTCTGTCCAGAACAATACAGCAATAATACAATTATGTATATACTGTACTTATGTGCCTTACTCAGAAGAAAAATATTATGTTTGTTACCTTTAACATTTGAAGAAAAGCTACCAGAAAACTTGATATGCCTGTCTAGACGGAGGAGAAGACTAAGCTTTCTTACCAACTCCACTGATAGGCCACTAAGTAATCACTTCCCCACTCTTTGGATATACAGTATAGTGCCCACTTAGCTCCTTTATTCCTTTTTTTCATTTTCTCACACTAAGTGTACATGTGTTCCCCTGGAAGCTGGTTTCTAAACCATACCTAGCTTGATCAACACACCACTTTTTCTCTTTCTAAGAATGAATTCAGAAAACCAAACAACTATTTTCAGTGTTGCCTGAGACCTTGGACCTGTGTCTTGTATTACTGTTATTTAGGAGATTTGGAAGTGGCCTCTTTGCCCACTTCAATTTTGGTATTTAAATGAGCAAATCTTATTTTATACTGTCTATTACTATTGTTTTATTGTTATTGCATGGTCTCTAGTTGTCCACTCTGTTTCCTTCCATTTATTCTTTTTTTACAATGTCTTTCTTTTTTTGGAATGACTCCTCTCTTTTTGGAGTTGTCTGCCTGGTCTCTAGATGCTTGATCTGCCATTTTTTCTTTCTGATTGTTATCCTTACATATTTATGACACTTGAGACAGAAAAGGGGGGAATGATTCTACACCACTGTTTTGCCTGTCACCTGTTTTGCAGCTAAATAATCATTGGTGCCTCCTTCCAATCCATGTTTCCACTTTGTGCATCGTGAACTTAGTGCAACTACTGTATGTTCCCTGGGCACAACCTGTCGTCCATGCACCGCTTCCCATGTTCATGGTGTTAAGTGTAGCAACACAGTAAATCCCTCACCCTGGTGTTAAGTGAGCAATTCTATAACGCCAGTTCACAAAGAGGCTGATATTTCCTTATATTCAGACTGTTTCTAACAAAACCAGAGCAACTGGAGTAACAAAGCACACAACCATGATAGTATAGCTGTCTGTGATTTATCATGCCTGGGTTTCACAATCTCAATCTGCAGATATGCTCTAAACCAATTTTAAAAGTGTATTTGACTGACATTTCTGTGCACTACATCAAAATTGATAGGGAAGCCCCTGGAGACCATTTACTGCCTACCCTTTTTCTTAGGAGTACAAGATACAGTACATCTGTCCTGCCTATCCCCAGTGTGTGGCTAGAGATACACACTAGACCAACGTGTTCAACACCTTCTCGGGCTCTGTGTGAACCTCTTTAGTTGAAAGATCTTTTCTTACTGTCTACTGTTGTATTGTTGTATTTTGCTTCCACACCTGATATATTAGTGCCCTCCATGCCCTTTAAGTGCAGGGTGCTATTCTATGTTTGCCTGGTGAGGGCTTAACTGTGTTGCTACACCTTAATGCTGTGTTACAGATTATATGTGTCATATTTGTGATGTTAGTTCACAGAGTAATCCTTGTTTTTCTCCTTTTTCTATACAAATCCTTTTTTTCAGTCTTTATGTGCCTTTACATAACATGATTTTTGTTGCTGTTTTATAGAGAATACAGCAGAGGATGTCAGATTCAGTAAAGGTGAGTCACAGAGCTAAACATTGTATTGTATCATATGCATTATGTCTTGTTCCAGAGCACATTTCACTAAATCTCATTTGGTATTCATTCAATTATCGTAGTGCATTCTAACACAAAGCTCTTACCAGGTTGATTGATGTGCAATTGAATTATCCTAATACTAACAGAATAAGAGAAAGGTCAATACATCTACTGCAAAGTTTCTGTTGCTTAGAAAAAAACACTTTAGGAATAAATAAGTAGAGACACCCTCAGCTATGATTTAATCATACTTCTATTTTGCAGATTTCAGGGTTGCTGTGTAATTGGAGAGGGATCTGTCTAATGAGTCAGTAGACATTTCTATTTCACTTCAGGACTCAAGAACACAAATAGTTCCCCAGGAAGGTCTAGCATGGCTTTAGAATACCCTTTGTGAGGCTGAGGTTTGTAAACTTGATAGCTTCATCAAAGCCCATGTCTCTGCCATTTTCTCCGCTGTGTTTTTTCTAAGGACATAATTTGTTGAAAGTCTTTTGTTTCAAGTTTTAAAAAGTCTTAACTGATTACTTTAAATTTATGCAATATATGATCAAAAATACATTCAGATTTTATTTCCAGTGCGTATAGAGCTAAAAACACATGACATCAGCTATAATTTACTGTAAGTCAAACTTTTGTCAAATGTTTAAATGAAGGAGGAAGCAATTTGCATCCGTGACTGTCCCTGCACTCTTTGAGTCTAATGTGAAACCTGTTTAGTTGCATCTTAAAAACACTGATATTTTGGAACCCATTTTTCAGCATGTGTATTACGAATGCATTTCTGAGTAGAAAGGTCTGATCCACAATAAATACCACTTAAAATTGATTTGGTCTCTCAAGTCGTGTAAGATTGAGACAGCCCATCCCTGCAGATAAGATGTTTTACTTCCCATTCAGAAATAAAAGAAAATGTAACTTGAGTTGGCATGGTACTACATGGCTACTCACAGAGCATCTCAAATAAAGCGTTGTATAGTCTTGTGCTTTACCCACTGAGCTACCTCCAGGCAGATTTTAATAATTCATAAGACAGGCACATTAGCTGTACAAAAATGCAGCTTGCTCAAAATCCCTGGTCAGAAGAGTGCTCCAGCATCACTGCACCCACAATGTAAAATGGTAAATGTTAAACTCTTACTGTATATACAGTACTGTACTACTGCAGAATGATTGAACTTTACACACCAAGCCTTTATTATATTAAAAAATACTGCCCAGAAACGATAATTCCTTTATTATGCTTCGATATATATATATACTGTGCTATACCCATTCTCACACCTCTTTTCACTAGAGTCCTTTAGAAGTCTGGATACTCCATTCTCTGCAGTATACTGCTCTGCATCTCTGCTCTTCTTATCCATCCGTTGATGTGCTTCCTCTGCTCCCTTTCTTGCTCCCCCTCCCTCTCTTGCTCTCTTGCTCTCTTTCTCTCTGCGCATGAAATTGCACAGCTCAGCATTTCTCTACAGGCACATAGAGGAAAAGAAAAAAAAATGAGAGGTAGAGTGGGGGGCAGGGCAGGACTGGTGTAGAATCCGGGATGCACCATAAAAAAGCCCCCTCCCAATTAAAGATGAGGACTTTTATTATTGAACGGCAGCTCAGCCAATTAGATTGCAGAGCCACGAAATACAGCAGGAAAACACCAGAGGGGCTAGTGGGAAAGAAAAACTGCAGTGTGTGTATATATATATTTTTACTGAGCTAATCAATTTAACACCTCCATCCCAAGGTTTGTGCTTTTGTGTATGTGCATGTGAAAATGTATTGAGGGCAAAGAAAAGCTGGTACAAGGACTGTTTAATAGGACATGATTCTCTTTTTCTTGACTACATAGAGAAAAAGTACTGTATATTGAAGAATCCTGAAGTGCTGGTTGTCTCTTTTTCTTTAAGAGTCATTCAAAGTGTCCTGAAGGAACTGCAGAAGTTTCTCCTTGGGAAGACGGTTCTGTACACGGTAAGATAACATTAAACATTTAAAGCTGAGCTGGTTTGTACTGTTAATTATACACTCCATGAGTATTCTCTTTTCTTTGCTTGTCTTCTTCACATATTTCTTTGAATAAGGTTTCCCTATCTTGAAAACTTACAGTATGTATAAAAAAGGGCTAGTTTTAGAATTAATCATCTTCCCTGTGCTTTTTTGATGAGATGAGAACAGTTTAGAACAATAAATTGTTACAATGAGACTTCCAGCATCTGTCAGCTTAGTTTGTTTTTGTGTTAATGTTGTCTTTGAAAAGTGTGTACTGCAGTATCAAGATATCTTGATCCAGGACTTTACAAGCATGAGGTCTGCTGCTAAGTCAGGTTTAGCTCTACAGTATGTTGAGTGAATGTAAAGTGAGCAAATGTACATAACTTACCTGTACAATAATACAGTAAGTGCATTGAAATGTGAATCTGGTGATATGTTGAGGAGGAAAGCATTCACGATAAGAAGAAGGTAATATGAAAGGGTTTAAAACTTTCAGTGACACTGCAATAAAACAACACTAAATAATACATGTACTAATAAACCTGCTAGAAATCTACATCAGGTGAAGTACCAGTTAAGCTTTGAGAAAAAAAAAATTAAATGCCAATATAATTCTTACAGAAAAAACTTTTTTTGAAGCTTGGACATGGTTTCATTTAAAATAGCTGTACATATTATTAAAAATATGGTCATAATCTTATTTTGTGGAATATAAACTGGTAATTATATTGATCAAACTAGAGGACAGTAGAGGTTTAGTACAGGATAAAATACATATTTTTGAGATACAGCATATAGTGCATAATGCATACACTCACTTGCCTCGTTTCTACTCCTAATGTGATTTTAAACCAGAGTTCATTATAAAGAGTATGTTAAATCGAATCAGCTAAAATAAATAAAACCAAGTCTACCCTTTAACTTTAAAAAAAATATATTTTTGCAATGTTTTTTTAAGTTATTTGCAGCTGTCCTGGTAACCTTAACTGTGACCTCAAAATGTGAGACAAGAGTGCTTGTGATTCTGCATCAATCGGGCTGCAGTGCTGGAGCAGTTTTCACGAGATACTGTATAAGGGGTATGCAGACATGCATCTGCAGTGAAATTAGAAACAGGGACTGCATTTATGAGTTTTTTCTAATTTCTGAGCAAAAACGACGACAATGCAAATAACGTAACTAATGTAGCTAATTTCACAGGACCAGTAGCTTAATGTAAACAGGCAATCATTCCTAAAACAATACACTTGAAATGCTTTTTGTTATTGACTTCAGCAGTTTGTCATATTCCTGCAGCATGTTTAGAATATACCCTTTTCATTTACTTTCCAGGAAGCCTAAATTGATGGTCAAAAGTAATTACCATAGTTACAGTTGAGTTATTTAGGTTTATACCAGAATTAGAACATTTCATATGCACATATAGTTTTAAAAGGAACAAATACATTTTTGTTAGAGTACCCCTCTCTTCACCCACCTATAATATTATATTTTACAGACCATTACAATTCATGACTTTTAAACAAGGCAGAGTATACAAGGCTATTAGACTGTGCCAGTTTTAAACAATATATAAATTATATCTAAACATTTTTATTTTATTTTCTCGAATGCATAATAATTGCATCTCTTATCCAGAAATAAGAGAAAAATTTGAGTAAACAAAATTACATTGTGACACTGAAATCTGTGAACGTGGTATTTTAGTGAACTGGGCTCTGCATAATCTAACGCACAATCGTCTCAAAGAAAATGTAATGAGTAGTTTTGTTTCAATTCAGAAAGGAACACATTAAGATGGTGTGTGTATACTGTCTCCATGCACAATTAGAAGTGAGGAAAGGACTAACAGTTATTATCAGACAGCTCAGTAGGATTAGAAGAGGTGTTATATTGCTTCTGCACACAAAGAAAGCATCTTTAAAATAACAGAATTTAGCCTTTTGGATTGTTGTAGGGGAGTGTGATTGAAAATCCCATGTACTCAGGTCATAGAACGGGGTTATAAGTGAAATTTGGGAATTTCACAGAAAGGACTTCCAAGAGGCCCAAGCACATCATAGTGCTGAAAATGATATTGACTTATAAAAGTAAGGAGACTTTCATGCAATTGTCTGAGAGATGCAAGTAAGATGCAGTTAAGTCAAACTTGATTTAATTATTAAGTGGAACTACTGTTTTGTCAATTCTGGAGTGCCTCAGTTGTAATTCGTTAGGTACCAGGAAATACATCAGTTTAAAAATGTGATGGCCCATTATTTGTTTTCTGATATATCTCAATCTATTGTTTTTGGTTTTTGTCAGTGAAGTCAAAAAATCAATTATTTCTTAAGCAAGTTCAATGTTTCCTTTACAATTCCCTTTTTATCTGGAGTGCCCCACTCAAGTTAGGGAAAGTTATAGTATTTTAACTGACATTAAACTGAAGTCTTCTGTTGCCACTTCACAGGAAGAGTAATGTACTGTATATTGTATTGGTAACCCACAGGATCATGATTACTCATACCCCATATTTATTCCATTATTTCTTTGGTAATTCACAACTGCTTGTTGGTATTTTAAAAGTGGAGTCCAAAGTAAGGTCAGTTATATCCTCAACGATCTCAGAAAGTTCTGTAAATGGGTGGATTGAGGAAGAAATTCTCCTAAAGCTGCCCAAATGTTTTGATCTGTTTTTATTTGTTTATGTTAAGATGTATAAGCACTGGTACAGTATCGAAGATGAAGCATTGTAAAAGATAGATCATGCATAACTCCTCCCTTAAGTTGCATCTCTCAGAACCTAAATAAGAACTATACTAGAAGAGTAAGAAGACTAAAAACAAGTTATTATCAGAATCTAAATATTTTACAAAGCACTTTCATTTCCTGGAGTCTTCCAGCAGTTTTAGAAAGCATTGGGAAAGCCATAATCCATGATTCACATGCTGCACTTTTAGAGCATGGTTATTCTTAGGAGGAAATAAGTCTGTACTGTCTTTTGGTTTGCTTGTAATGACTCCTTCTCTTATATACTCTTCAAAAATCCAAATCTACAATACATCATGAGATAAGCATTAGCCATTAGAACCTAAATCATTTTTTGTTCTTGATACGGTGTTATTTAACATATGTTCAGGAAAAGGTTTAGTTCTCATCTTGCTCTCTCACTCTCCTACACATACAATAAATACTAGAACCCCTCACTCCACAACAAATACAGCTCCTTCTTCTTTCAGTCCTCGTTAGCGAGTGGGGCTGTGATAGCACCGATCTTCAGCCAACACAGTTATTTCATCATCCAGGCATGTTACAGTGACACCAAAGTATGCTATCCCTTAATGTTTGTTCATTTCCCTTATTGTTTGCTCTTTTCATCATTACTAGAATTTGACCAAAGTACTGAATTCAGTCAAAGTGAGAGGTAGTGTCCTTCCACTACCCAAGCTAGTACAAAAGTATTTTAATACTTTTAACATTCAATTTCTTTAAATGCCACTTGAGTTAAACCTTTATTAGACTAAACACAAGACAATTTTGGAATACACTTGTGATATGTATGTTTTTTTATCTGTGTGAGTCAAATAAACTGATATTTTAGCCTCCCACCCCAACACACTCATATGTTTTTCTTTTATGTCTGAAGATAAAGAGAATATTTCCAAGAACACATTTCTGTTTATTGTCTTTGATGAAACAGTTGGCTGATTGGTCAGAAATAACGACTGAAAATTATATATATATTTTTTTTTTTTTATTTACGATATTTAGTATGTCAATTGTAAACCGGAGGGCATTATCTTTTCGGAGATCTACCGTAGCATTGTAACATATGGTTTCTCAAAGCTCTAGGACTCTGGGTTTGAATTCAACTTTGGCCTGGGGTTTGCGTATTCCCCTCCATGTTTGTGTTGGTTTTCTTCAGGTGCTTTGTTTTCTTCCCACTTCCCACAAACATGCAGGACAGGTTTGATTGGTTACCTAAAAATTTAAACTGAACACCCAACCTCATTACTCTCTTATATTCTGAACGGCTCTGGGGACTCTCTGCCTTAAGCTCAGAAACTAGGATATTTAGGAAGAAATCGCAGTGAGAGAAAAATAACCACGCTGTTTCATTCTGCAGAATATATCTAGCTGATGTGTCACTGAATAACAGCTCAATAAGCATAACTAGTACAGAGCTCAGAATCTTAACTGATTGCTCGATAACCCAGAAAAGGCTAAATTTTTATTTCTTGCTGCAGTCTTGTTTACATGCTGGTCTCATGAGTTCCTAAGAAAAATAGTAAAACTTGAGAAAGTTCAACGAAAACAAAGATATCCAAAGAGCACTGAAGAATTGAGGTGGTGATTAAGCTTGTGTATGCCTGCCTAACTGTATTAAATACCTAATAAATTTGATAGAAACACTTGGGCCATTGAACACAGCTTCTCTATCATGATGTTATTGGGCCCACCCATCTGCATAGTTTTCCATTACATTTCTGTCACTGCAGAAGTGATATGTGAAGCTCTATGATTTGTAAAAAAATATAAGCCACACACTGTATTCCTCTTTAAAATCAGGGTCTTTAAACTAAATTCATTTTCAAGTTAATTCTTTTTCTGTTCATTTGTTTTGTTTTTCTAAGTTAGTACAGTAGCATTAGTAAGGTCTGCATTTATATTGCTGCTTTCCAGGGACCCATAAAGAATATTTTCATTTCTCTATCAGGAGTTATATAGAACTATCTTTGCCATCATAACACCAAATATTAAAAAAGGAGAATGCTTTTTTTGTGTTGTTCTTGTGTTGTTGAGCTGTTTAGCTCACCACTGTGGCAGACCAGACGCATTAGGACAAAATCCATAACATGAATGTGCCCAAAGCACAAGTTACCTACCAAAACCTACCAGTGAAGGATTATGCTAATAAAAAATCTGATTCATATTGAGTAACCCCTAACTTAATTTATGGCTCTGTGCCTAATGGATATGGTTGTAGTAAGAGTAAGTGA